TTATTTATATATTTTTATATTTATTTGTATATTTATATATATATATATTTATTTGTATATTCATTTATATATATGTATATATTTATTATATATTTATATTTATTTTATATACTTATTTGTATATATATATATATATTTATTTATATATATTACTTACTTACTCCTCTTCGTGTACTGGTGCACATAAGACGTCTACAAAAGTCCTCCAACTGGGACGGTCTTGAGCCAGCCAGTTGAGCTCGTTCCATGTCTTTCTATTTTCCACTACTTCATGGTCCACCATACTCCTCCATGTTGATTTTGGTCTTCCTCTACTCCTTTTCCATCTGGTTGCCAATTTAAAACTCGTTTTACATGTCTCTTTTTGTCCATTCTGAGGATGTGGCCTAAACAATTCCACCTTTTACTTTTGACTTCAAGAATATTATTGATGCTCAGCTTGTTCCATAATTCTCTGTTTGATATGACTTCAGGCCAGATTATACGAGCGATTTTTCTCAGTAATTTTCCTTCAAAACCTCGAAGGCGTGATGAGAGTTTTCCCGTTAGGTTCGAGGATTCTGCACCATACAGAAGAACAGTACATACATTAGTCTTATAGATTTTCATTTTTGTGTTTAGTGTGATGTTCTTCTTCTTCCATATATTTTTTAACATGTTAAAGGCTGTGCTAGCTTTTCCAATTCTAATTTGTATTTCTCTTTCAACACTGCCATTTTGCGCCATATTGCTTCCAAGGTAAGAAAATCCTGCACTTCATCAATTTTGTCATTTCCAATTGTAATTGGATCATCTTTTTTTGTATTTATCTTCATGATTTTTGTCTTCTTTTGGTTTATTTGTAGACCAACACATTTAGACACCTCTTCTAGCCTAGTTGTCTTTTCTTGCATGTGTTTATGGGTGTGTGCCATGAGACATATATCGTCGGCAAAGTCCAGATCGTCAAGCCTTTCCATGAAACCCCATTTGATTCCCTGTGTCTGTGAGAAAAGGTGAAAGAATGCAACCTTGCCTTACACCTGATGAGACATTGAACCATTCTGAATTTCTTCCATCATGTCTTACTGTACATTGATAGCCATTATACATGCTTTTAAGGATGTTTGTGACTTTTGTAGGGACACCACACCATCTTACAATTTGCCATAGGGCATCTTGGGTTATGCTGCCAAATGCGCTTTTAAAATCGACGAAGTTGAGATAAAGTGGGGTGTTCCATTCATTACACTGTTGAATTATGTTTCTTAAGGTAAAGATTTGGTCTGCACATGATCTGTTTTTTTCTGAAGCCAGCTTGTTCCTCTCTTAGAGTTCTTTCTAAATCTGTTTTCATCCTTTATATATATACTGTATAAATTTATATATACTTTAATTATTTATATATTTATTTATATATGTGTTTGTATATTTATTTGTATATTTATTTGTGTATTTATATATATATATTATATATATTTATATATAATAATATGTTCATATATTTATTTATATATATATTTATATATTTATTTGTATATTTATATATATTAATATGTTCCTATATTTTTTATATATTTATATATATATATATATATATTTATATACCGTATATATATTAATATATTTATTAATATATAAATAAATATATAAACAAATAGATATATAAATACATAAATATATATAAATAAATATACAAATATATGAATAATT